TTAGAGATGGCAGTAAGACTGACGGATTGCTTTAGAGATGGATGGAGGCAGATGTGTGGGAGAAACTGAAGATGTAACAGACAGAAGTGCTATCGGTTGGACCCCTTCGAAGAGGTCAGAGTGTGGGTATCAGAGGACAAAGAAGAGGAGCACTGAGTTGGGAGGGAGAATAGCGAAGATAAATGAAGGACAGGGGAAATAAAAAGGTGGAGAGGAGAGGTCATGTGAGAATTTCTAAAATCAGATCTTTTGTCTTAGCAATATGCTAGGAAAGAGAGGACATGAAACTGAAACAAAAAAAGAGAGAGAAACAAATTAACAAACACTTGGAGAATGTGACGGGCATTAACTCTGGAGGAGAAAAAAGATGTCCAAGCTGGGTAGAGTTTAGGTGAGATTAAATGGATGAAATCTGTGCTCTTCAGCATAGGTTTTGACTTTCTGCTCCTGGGGATGGATGGAGCGAATGATGCGGGAATGGGATACAGAGTTAGAAAAGCCAGGTAGGTGCAGCGAGAAGGGAACGGAAGAGGCAGAAGAGACTGCTGGTGAGGGTACTGTCATCTTGGGGAAGACAGGGTCAGACCAACGAGGGAAGTAAATGAAACTAGAGGGTTTATGGACCAGAACGACAGAGGACTGAAAGAAGGCAGGTGGGATATAGGAAAAGCCAGGCTGTGGTCAGAGAGGGAATTTCGGAGTTTGAGTACTGGCAGGTGGGATAATTCCAAAAGAAGAGATGCGGGTGTGGCTACGATGGGGAGGGCAGGATCTCTGCAGTGTTTCTAAAATAATATAATGCCTAAGGGCTTTGACTCACACCCTGAAACCAGAAAAAACTAAACCTGCATGTATAAATCTACCCATTTATGCACATTTCTTTACACATACATAAAACATACATTTAAATACCACATTGCTTTTGTAGCCATGTATTGTATGTAAGTACAGTATACCCCATTTTAAACTCTCTTATATTCTTCACAGCACCAGCCCAGGGGCATAATATGTATTCAGTAGACTTTGGTTTAATTGAACTAACACATTTAACTAGAGCTTTTATTTTATTCTCCTTGCATAGTACTGGAATCTGCTCCACCCCCTAAATCTCAACGCTAAAATAATTACAAAAAAGAGAGTTCAAGTTTAAACTGCAGAGACCAAATCCTCAAAGTAACGGTTTTATAGTGGGCTTTAGCGCTGTGCTTTCTAATTGTCCCCTTAATCCTCGCACGGAGCTCCATTTCTTTTACTTTGCCAAAACACAGATTCTACACCCCAGTCCCGAGGCGACGGGATTCTGCTGCTCCACTCTGCTTTCCACCCTCAGTTCTCATCAGGATTCCTCACCCTCAATAATCACACCAGCAATTCTGTTTGGAAGCACGGAACCGAGCCAGAAACTCATTGCGATGAGCTCGGAGACGGATGCGAGTGGACCCTCTGGCACAGAAATGTGGGTGATTTCTAACTTCGCCTGCTTCTTCCCAGTACCGCTGTCCTAACCCATCACTCTTGGGGTAAAATTCTTTCTTATTGCTTCAGTATTGTAAATTAGAGGCCCCAAACGTGACTGATCTCTCCAGGGCGTGGAAAGAGAGCTGATTTTCATTTAAGGTTTTCTGGGGTACTTTTTTGCCATGAGAATAGATAGGACTCTGTATTTAGGTCACAGGACCTGGATGGCCCCTGTGTAATTGAGTCCCTGTGGCTGGAACGTGACGGAGGGGGATATATTCAGATACCCTGTGATTTTCTTACAATACTGGAACCCCCAAACTAGAACGGAATCCTAGATCTAGATCATTTTTAGAAGTTCTCAGACTGACGAGCCTACTTTTTAGTGATGTCCCAAACATCTGATAGGTCCGAAAAAGAACTGCCCACTGGTTAAGTTGTACCTGGTAGACCAGTAGCTCCTTAATAGGTCAGGCGTGCAGACGCCCCTATAGAGGTAGGGAAGTGCAGAATACAGAACTACGTGGCTAAACTGGAACATTAATTGAACTGGGACAGAGAACAGATAATTACAGCATCTTTTTATTATCATAGCTTGATCTTTCGAGCTGTCTCCTCAGTAACCTGCAGTGGAGGAAAAACATCAGTCTTCCATTTTCTACAGAAGGAGTCAAAGTCCTTGACCTGCCCTACAAGGTACTGGTCTTAGAAATTCATGAACTACACACTTATGTGACGGTCTACTGAAAATAATTCTGAGCTAGGACTCCTATTCTTGTGTCACATGAGCCTTAAATAAATGTCGGAGAAGGATAAGATAGTTTAAGCATCTTTAAACTCTAGAACCCGTATCTCTACACCTGTTCTGTTACTCTTAAGTGTTCCTTGCTCTCTCCCTCTTCTCCTGTATCTTTACTTCATTCCCAGGAAAAAAATGAGAAGCCTAATATAAACTAGGTGTTTAAATGTATAAATCCTTAATATGGCTTAAGATGGCACCCTTTCTGGGATTATTTTCATGTAAATGGCAGATGAGCAGCCCGGGGCTGAAGGCAAACATCTGCCTGGGAAGCCAGCGGTTGGAGTGGGGATGGGAATAAAAAGGGAAGGTCTTCCCAGGAGAGCTCAGGGCACACCATGGACCGACCACATGCCACCTGTGAGGCCAGACCCATTCCAGTGTAACTGTCTAGCTGCTTCTCATCCATAAAGAGTTCCTTAGACCGGAAGGAGAGGCTCTTGACACTCAAGTGAAGAAAGGAATGCTCTACCACAGTACTCGGCAGGTACTGAGCACACATTTCCTCTATGGCTTTGGGCTCGGAGAGCACGTTAAGGTATGGCCACGACACCTGGCAATGCCTGGCGCAGTCATCCACAGCCCTGCAGCTGCATCACTTACGGCGCACCTGGATCACTCCTAGCCAAACACACACGCAGGGCGTCAAGCAGTGACGGGGCGTTTTTTCTTTTTTTTAGAGAGATGGGAATTCAAAGAATGAAGGGAGTTCTGGAATAGCTATTGCCCAAACAATCCGGTTATTCTGTTCCTTAATCTTGAACAAAGTAAAAACCAAACAAAAAACAAAAGCAAAGAAACCCCAGTTCTTAAATGAGATGTGCAGGTGACCAGCACACTGCGTTTTGGGAACACAGTTTCTTCACCTCCCATGCAGAGAATTCACCCTCGGGCAACTCCTGATGGCCACGGAAGGCCGGGTGGGTGATGCTCGCTTCATTTTAAAGACGACTCCCATTTTATCACTTTACACATGCGTTTTGGCACTACTGACACCACCAACATTTAATGGAATCACTTGGGATTTTTCCCCCCAGTCACAACATGGCTGTGGCTAGTCGAGGGGAACCCACATCAGGGATGTTTCCCACGTTCTGGCTGAGGACACACAGGGACATACTCTGAAATGACAAGATCCACTGTACATGTGTCACTCTGAAGGGAGTGCACACTCTTGACTCAGGCAAATTCAAGGGTCAGATTATCTGAGGTTGGTAGAAAGGCTGAGATTGCAGCATGGCCACCAAAAGGAGTGATTCAGGACCACACCCAGCAGCCCACTCCCACAGCTGAAGGGGACGATAGAGGACATGACAGATAGAAAGCGGGGAGTCTGAAGAAAAGTAGAACAGTCAGTGCTCCCAAGGGTCTTTGTGGAATAGACGGGGCTGATGGCTGAATTTATCCTCATTCATTTTCCCGCCTTGTTCTTTTAGAATGAAGTAACATCCAGAACTTGACATTGCTCAGACTTTCTTTCTTTAAGCTTTCTTGAGCAGGCCATGACTATCTTATTTGGTCTCAATTCAAACATCTAGTTGAAGAGAAGTGACCAATTGGGGCCACAGAGGGGTTGAGAAAATGAAATTATCCAGCTGACAGCTTTTGATGATGGGAGGATAGGAAAAAAAAAAATGTAGTATCTTGGCTAAATGGATTTGGAAATTTCCTCCTGCGGTAAAGAGAGAGAGAGAGAGAGAGGCTGCCGCCCTTCACAAAGCCAAGAGTCCAGTGAAAGCGATTCTATTTGTCTGGTTAACCCAAGGTCAGGTTATGAATACCTGGCTTGAGGCAAATAGCACCTTCCTGATGGCAGAAGTGAGGACAAGGCAAATATAAGGTCACTATTGGCACCCTCCCTCCCCGACTCGCCCTTCCGTCTCTAAGACCAATTTCTGTGAACTTTCTAAGAGAATCATCTGACCACTGAGTTTTGAGCAGATCTGGTGCTCTTTTCTGGAAAAGCATGCAAATTTGCAAGACATGTATCCAGTGCTACCTCCTGGTAACCTGGTATCACATGCTTCAAAAAGGGAGACAGTGAATTCTCTGGGTGTGCTTGTGGTGCTGATTGCAAAGGAGGGGAGGGGGTCAGAGAGACAGGGTGGGAGCTCAGGTACAAGGGAAAAAGACACGTGACTGAGATGCTGGTTAAACATCAGAGGAAGCTGAGGGGAGATTTCTCAAGACTGAGCTTCCTGAAACCTCTTAGCCACATCAAGAGTGAGAGAAAGGATGACTTGACTTCAATTCTGGTTTAAGCCCTTTGGGGAACCTTTCCTACCCTAGATGCTGACAGGGAAATACGGCGCCACCAGCTTGACTTTGCACAGATGCTGGTGACCTGTGGTCCGCCCTGGAAGACCGGAGCTGGGCTGGGGTTTGCGTGGAGCCAAAGGGGACCCGATGCCAAGCCCAGGCTGATGGGCATGAATATGTCTCACAGGCCAGTGAGGAGACTGGTGAGGCGGGAGGCACGGACACATCCTTTCCCTGACTTGGTCACCACAGTGGCCTCCGTTCCCGTTCATTTCTCTCCAGACACCCTGCAGCCAAAGCCATACGAAACGGTTCCCCCGAATGGAAAATGAAAACCCAGAAAGAAATGCTTCTTCCCCCTTCATTCCCATCCCCACCCCACTCCCTCCAGCCCAACACCCTGAATACTCACAAGAGAACACTGTATCTATACAAAATCAATTAGAAAACAAAATATTTACATGAAATAAACACCAGCTTGATTTCTGTCACCGGCGGAGATGACAGCGCCCCCTTTGTTCTAGATTGCTGTTCGCTAGGTTAGTTGGTTTGGTTTTTATTTGAAAGGGGTGAGGTAAGAGGAGGAGTGAGGGGAGGAGCCCCTGACCCGCGAGAGTCAGGGTGAAGAATGTTCTATGGCCCTTCGCCTTCTTCCTCCTGGAGACTCAAGCCCTCTGTCCTCGCTCTCAGTCATCCCTTGAATCTAAGGTAAAGCACTCCGTGCTCCTCTCTCCAGATCTGGGAGAGGTTCAGCCCCTTGCCCCCAGGTTCGTTCTAGAAAGAAAACAAAACTTTACAAGGCCTTCGGTTGGCTGGAAAATGAAAGATACTGAGGTAAAAATCAAGGAGGAGGGCAGGGGCGGCAGTCAGGGGGAGGGGGAGGGAGGGCGGTGCGTCGGGGCGGGGCGACTCGAAGAGACACGGCAGCTTCCTTCCGGAGGAGGATGAGCACCTTTCTGGTTTATGTGTCCTGTGTGCAACATGGAGGTCCTGCAGTCAGGCTTCCAAACCGACCCTTTGGCTCTTTGGCTGCCACCCTGGGTGAGGGGAGGATGGCGGGGCAGTGGATCTGACCCACAGAACACGCCTACCCCACGTTTCAGGACTGGCAGTGACAAGTATTCATCACCCTTCTCAAGTTTCCAACTTTTAGTGAAGGGGGCATCGCGTCTGCAAGTACCCTCATCCCTGGAGTTGTGTGTGTGTGTGTGTGTGTGTGTGTGTGTATAAATATATTTATTCATGAATGATACAATCTGGGAGGGAAAGGAGGTGTAAGGAGGTGTTGCAGGAAGGTGGAGGGGCTTCTACAGAGAGTGTCCACACTGGGTTCAAGGTCACCTTCTCAGGGAGCCAGACCCAATGGGGTAGCGGGGGGAATCCCTCCCTGCCTCCCTTTCCCTTTCCAAGCCTCTTCCCTTCCCTCCACGCTTCCTGAGCGGTACTCATGGAACAAGCTCACTCCTCTTCGCTGCCTGTTCCACATTGACCGTGACCAATTCGGGGGGGACAAGCCTGCTCTCCCAGCTCCAGGTTAAGTAAGAAGGGATCAAAGCACTGAAAACATCCCCCTCTCTCACTTACCCCACCACAGACGACCCCTCTATCCTTCAAAGCCTTGCTTAGCTCCTCCCCCATCACTGGCCAGCCAAGGGTCTAAGAAGCTCAAAGGAGCCCTACAGAATCTTCTGCTCCCACATGTGGGCCAAGGAATCATGGCTGCTTTCATTTCCCTTTAGCCTTCCTGGAAAGTTCTTGGCCGAAAACTGGTTGAAAGGATTGGCAACTGGGAAGGAATTATTGTTGTACCTTGCTTCAGTAGGGTTGTCACCCACGCTTTTGTCTAGACCTTGGCAACTTCTCCAGCAAGAACTTCCATTCTCCTCATGCAGGAAGGGTGAAGGGGAGAGACAGCCTAAATTCTGGTAACACAGACCATCTCTGTTTGTATATAAGCCAAAATCAGCACGTTGCTAATGGATATTGAAAGAAACAGCATTATGAGTCAAGGGTGCCTTCTCCACATGACTCGGCCCCGACTCCAGGTGTGTATGTACCTCACGTGTGTGCAAGTGTACACGGACACAAATGCACACGCAATTCCTCCTCCCTCACCTCCAATGCACCCGGTAACACTGCTATGGTGTACTTTTCACCGTCAGTCAATGACTTTCACTCTAATGCACCACCACTAAGTCTCGAGGAGTTGAAGCAAACATCTTTTTGGCTTATATATAAACACACATGGCCACCCACCCTCTGCCTGGTGCAGGATCCCCAAACAGACGCCATCTCAGCAACGAGAATTTAGCAAAAGCCTCTTTTCATTCTCAAGCGGTATGCTAAATGATCTTATTTGGATGCTTCTGCTTTCTCACCTAAACATAAAGATCAGTTTGGGAAGAGCTATCCTGCGCTCCCGTGGCCTCCTTCCGCTTCTCCACGCTGCACTCGAAGTGGGTGGCAGAGTCCTTCCGCGCCAGGGGAAGCTCGCGTGCGGCCACTTCTCCACTTTGCCCTCGCCCGCCCAGCGAGCCCTCCGCATCCTCTGGCGGGAACTGGGAAGGGGAATGATGGACAGACGGGGAGGGGGGAGGGGACCGGAAAGGGAGCAGAGGTGGTGCTGGACACCCGGGTCGCCCTCAGAAGGAATCGGAACTCCAGGATCCCATAACGAAATTAAAACGACAAGAAAGGAGCCAATGGGAACCAAGTGCACCCCCGTCACCCTCCGTGACATGCGCACCACACGCCCACAGCCCGACCCTCCCGTACCCACCTTCGCCTCTCTCTTCCCTCACTCAGACATCAGACTCAATACTAGAAAGTTTCTCATACACATGCCCATTGCTGGAGCCATTGAAAGCCCTGGGGTTTTTGTTGTTAGGCACACAGGGGTTGGACTGGTTCCCTATACAGATGTCTTTCTGGAAACGGCCTGGCACCGCCCCGTGCAGGGCCGAGACCACCGGCTTGTTGGTGACCAGGGCACGGAAGTCCGGCCTGGCCTTCGGCGCCCCCGCCACCGTGGGCTGCCTGAAGAAGTAGGATTTGCTGCCGTGGAGCAAGCACTGGTCGTCCCCGAAAGTGGGGATGAAAGGGTTCTGCGTGACCCGGTCGGGGTAGAGCGACTTGCTGAGCATGTAGCCGCCGCTGGGGTTGCTGTGGTGGGGGTGTCCCGCCGCGGGCGCCGCCGCCTTGCCGTTGCCAAACGAGCTCTCGCCGGCTGGCATCTCAAACATGTGGGCGTAGGGGCTCCCGTCCAGGAAGCGGCCCTTGTCTTTCAGGCTGACGCTGCGCGGGGCCAGGGCGGCCTCCTCCTTCTGCAGGTCCACGAAGGTGTCGTAGGAGTGCTGCCGCCGCAGCTTGTTCCGGGTCTTCTTCTGGGCCTTGGAGTTGGTCGGGCTCTGCGGGTACTTGCCGGCGGGGGCGCCCGACGTCACGGCCGCCGGCGCGGCCGGCTGGTCCAGCTCCTGCAGGGAGTTGTCCTCGCTGATGTCGTATAGGTTGCCCGCCTTCTTGCACGCCTCGCAGCGGATGCACGCCTGCCGGCCCGAGTTCTGCCCCGCCACCGTCGCCGAGTAGTTGTGCAGCTTGGAGGGGCAGCTGCGGCAGAAGTTGCCCCCGGAGCGCTCCTCCCAGTCCACGTTGGTCAGGTTCTTCTCCCAGGGCGCCGGGACCCCGCCGACCACGCCGTGCTTGTCGCCCGTCCCGTGTTTGAGGTGCGCCCTGTTGGTGCAGGGCCCGCCGCCGCCGACCGAGTCGCGCTTGAAGTCGTCGCCGCGCTCCTTGTAGATGTCGGTCAGGTCCACGTGCTCCCAGTGCGGCGAGTTCTCCTTGGGGCGGAACTGGTCCAGGTAGAAGTCCCGGAGCCCCTCCTTGTCCCGGAAGTAGCGCTTGTGGTCGGGGGAGCGGGGCGGCCGGCGGCGGTAGGCCAGCTCGATCTCGTCGAACTCGCGGCGGGACTTGGCCGAGGCCGGCCGCTTCTTCAGGCTGTCCTTGTACTGCTGCTTCCGCCTCTTGGCCGCGTTGCCCTCGATGTTCCCGTAGGTGACCGTGTGCGTGGAGATGTCGGACACGTCGGAGCGGATCAGGTCGTCGTGGCCGCTGTAGCGGTCGCTCTTGAAGGAGAACTTGCCGTACAGGTCGCCCAGCTGGCTGTGCTTGGAGGCGGGGAGGCCGATGTCCAGGGGCTTCTTGCTGACGGGCCGCGGCTGCGTGGAGAAGGGCGGGTTGTCGCAGTCGTAGAGCCCGTCGATGGAGCTGGCGCTGCCGATGCTGTGGGGCCGGTGGTGGTGGTGGTAGTGGTCCTGGTACACGTTGCTGTCCTTCAGCTGCAGGTTGCCGAAGGTCCTCTCCACCTCGCTGATGTAGTCGCTGAAGAGGTTCTCCTCGCAGGGCGGGTTGTTGTAGGACTTGCAGTCGGAGTGCGTGAAGCTGCGGCGGTGCTCGGAGATGTCGTAGACGGACGACTCGCGGCGGATGAAGTCCAGGGCGCTCTGCGGAGAGCCGTTCACGCCCGACAGGTTGGCCATGTTCTTGGCCGTGCGGAGCAGACGCAGGATGTTGGAGTGTGTGTTGTTCATGGTGGCGGTGGGGGAATTCATCACGGATTGGCGCTCCTCGATGGCCACGCCGTGGATGCAGCTGTAGATACCCTGGAGAGCGGAAGGGACGGGTTAGGTCTCCAGCCAGGCCAAAGCGACCATGAGAGCACCGCCCCACCCCTACCCCCCACCACTAACTGCCTAAGTGGAGGGGAAAGTCAGGGAAAACATGAAAGGATGGTCTTACACACTCACAGAAACATGTGGCCAGAGGCATGCCGGCTTTATCCCCTGCATTTAGCAAGTCTCCCACCATGAGTCAGCGCCCAGCTACCCGAGAAGGGGCAAGGCTAGACTAAGTGACCTGAACAGATGGATTGGAATCGCAAGACACGGCATTCTTGCCCTAACTCTGCCACTGACTTACATTGATTTTCCTTTCTATGCCGACGTTTTTGCACCTATTTTTTAAATTGAAGTACAGTTGACTTACAATGTTGTGTTAGTTTTTGGTGTAGATTCAAAAGTCAGTGATTCAATTAAACATACACATATTTTTTCACATTCTTTTTCATTATAGGTTATTACCAGATATTGAATGTAGTTCCCTGTGCAACACAGTAGGGCCTTGTTGTTTATCTATTTAATATACAGTAGTAAGTATCTGCTCATCCCAAACTCCTAATTTATTCTTTCTTCCCTTTCTCTTTGGTAACCGTAAGTTTGTTTTCTACATCTGTCTCTTTGTTTTGTAAATAAGTTCATTTGTATCATTTTTTTTAAAGCATCTTAAAAATGAAAGCAAAAAATTTGGTTAGCCTCCTGGAAATCAACAGCCATGCTCTGCAGACGTGGGGCAGTTCTGCCCTGCCCGACCCCCTGGTCCGGCAGGAAAGCACTGGGGAGCCTAGGAGCTCACAACTACCACTTGTCTCCAGCTCTGACAAACTTTGGGCAGCTTTTGGGATTTTGGTCATCAAATCACAGCTGAACAATTCTCTTCTTGAGCCAAGCCTGAACTGACTTCACAGAGAGAATTGGGAAGCCCCTGGGTCAGAGAAGGGTTTTTCTCCTGCTGTGCCCTACACCTTGAGAGGGAAGACCTGGGACTGATATCAAGTGCTAAACAGGAAGAAAGAATTCCCTTGCTGAATTCTCTCTTTATTCTCAGTTTAACTCCTGGTTTCCTCCTTATACTTTCTCACTCACTCTTATCACAAATAATTAATATCTTAACAAATCAGTATTGATTGAGAACTTCTGTGTGCAGTTCCTGGTATAGAGCCTTGAAGGGCACCATCCAGCAGAGGGAAGGGGTTGGGCTCAAGTCTATACCCATATCTTGCTCCCTGCCTTGAAAGGTGGACACATTTGGAACTTTCCTCCCTGGCAAGGGAAGGTATTTGCAGACGAAGTTCTTTGAACCGTGTCTTTAAGACAAGGAGGAATTAATTTGGAAAGGGGCTCTCCGGTTAGAGGGGGAGAGGAGGAGAGAAGATCTCATAGCAGCTATGTGGGAAAGGACAGTTTGGATGAGATGAGCCTCACTGTTGAGAGATCTTTGAGAAAAGGTTACTCTTCTTTCTTTCTCAGGCCTCCTTTCTAACCCTTCTTGATTATGGCAGAGAGAAAATGCATTTTCCCTCTAGAGACCCACTGGTGATGCCACGGGGCTGTGCATGGGATTTCCATTCCAGGCCACCAGCTCCTCTTGCTGCTGCCATCACCCTCCCTGGGACCTTGGGAAGCGCCACATGGTGTGACAATGTGGCTCAGGGACTGCAAGTTCCATCCTCCTGCTCCCAGGTACCTGAATGGCCTGAATCAACTCACAGGCAGAGGGCATTTTTCTGTGTCTCTAATATACTATGGGAAAATGATCAAAAGATGGGACAATTTAATGCGTACTCCATTTTCTTACATAACTCCATTAGAGATAAAGTTGCTTATAACTGAAGCCTGGATCTCTATTCCAAAAGGACATCTAAGTTCGCCTCTCATGAATGTGTCCTATCACTTTATTAACAAAATCAGAAGTAGTCTGCTTTAAAACAAAACAAAACAAAAAAAACTCTTCCCTGCGATCTTCTGTTCATACTCAAAACTGTATTTCGAATCTCACTTTGGACCAGCCACATAGAAGAAAACTAAATGAAGAATGACTTGAGTTATACTCTTGCTCCAATTAAGGAAGTTTTTGGAATGTAAATTCCTTACAGGTCAGGACTTCTTACTGCAGGTTCTGTTCAGCTCTTTAACTCCCCAAATTGACCCATGGTTAGAACACAGAGGGGAACAGTGAAACTACCAACAATGTACCTTTGTATGTCAGAATATCAGAGACATTTCACAATTTAAACAGAAATGCAATTTTTAAAATGGATTAAATGATTAATCCAGCCTATATGGAATTAATGGATGGTGAAGAAAGGCATTTGGGAAAAGGCCAAATGTTTCATTTTGATGGATCTGCCAGTTCTTGTTGAGAACCAAGTGCCCAAAAGCCCACATGGAAAGCTGTTTCTTGAAGGAAAAACAGCGTCACCTGTTTTTTCAGCCACTTGAAATTACGTTACCCAAGCCCCGGGAGAAGCGTGCATGATGTGGCTCGGCAGCTTAAGGCTGGGGTGAGTGCCCCACTGGGTCTCTCTGCCCTGCACAGCGCTAGGCTGAGCCGTCCTTCCCAAGCTCTGGGCACCTGAATCAGAGCACTTACTCTGCTGATGGAGAAGACCATGCCAGGCTTGCCGGAGCAGACGCCCATAAAGCAGTGCCGGAACTGCCAGTAGAAAAGGTGCTCGCAGATGAAGGTGATGAGGCTGAGGGCCATGGCCGCCCCCAGCATGTAGAAGACGCCCGCCATGTTGTCAATGTCCAGCTGGCTGCTCATCACCTCGTTCTTCTCGTTGTGGCAGATCCCTGTGAGCCACAGAGCTTCCAGCTCCTCCATCTCCCCTGGGGCCGGGCCAGAAGAACAGGCAGAGAGAGGAGAGTGGGGAGGAGTAGAGAGAGAGAGGGCAAGCGCAGGGTTGCGGAAAAGAGAGAAAAACATGAGCGAGAAAGAGAAAAGGAGACATAAAGAAAACCAATAGAGAAAGTTAGTAATTTTATTAACACCATTATACAGTCATCTGTCAATATGTTCAACAAGTATTTGGTGAAGACGTAGTGCGGGTGCTATAGGTGATGCAAAGATGGGAGACATTACCTCTGTGCCCCACTAGCTACCCAGTGTAAACTGGTGTATAAATGATCAGTATGACCAGCTATATGCAGGTAACAAGAGCTCGAACTGGGGAGAGTAATTCTGTAGAGGGGACGGCCAGTGGGTTTTCATGAAGGAGGTTGGACTTGGAGGTGGGCGTGGTGAATGGGTGAATTTTAACTTATATTGTATGAAAAGGCACTCCAGGCAGCAGAAACAGCAAGTTCAAGGGGAAGAAGGTGGGAAAACCCAAGGCTTATTTGGGAAAGGCACACAGAACAATTCCAACAATGTCAGAAGCAAAAGGAGCTGAATAAAAAGGGCTGGTGCAAGACTGCTGAGGGTTTGAATATCAGACGAAGTGAGCACTTTGCACTTTATTTTGCAGACAGCAAGGAACAACATAACCAAACAGGTGATTCAGCAAATTGCTCTCAAAAATGGTGCAAAGTAGATTGGGGTTGGGGGTGCAGAGGCAGAGATCAGCAGAGAGACTGACTGACTCCCTAGGCCGCTGAGACTCACGGATCTCTCGCTGTAGAGGAAAATATAAATATTCACAGGCAAAGGGAGTGAGCTTGAGTAAAACAAAGCCACCAGATTTGGCCCTGCCTCCTTTTAACGCTGCTTAAGGAAGCTTTGTTTAACTCAAGTCATGCCAGGTGATAACCTTGATCCACTTCACTGGATACTGAGAATGAGAAAAGTAGAAATCTGAAACGAAAGGAAAATGAAACAAGCCACATGCCTAAGAATGCATCTCATTTGAGAGAAGCAAAAGTCTGAAAATCTCATGGAGAAAACTGCCTGTTTCCATCATTTCAGTTTGGTTCTAAGTGTGACCTTTGCACAAGCTGCCCGGAGCTCTGGCAACTTCTGCAGGTTGGTGCGACTGCTGCTCTTCCGGGTGGACAGAGGTCCCTTTACTGCCTTTAAGTAATAGTGACATTACAGTGACAGAAGGTCTTACACCAGAATGGCTTGTTAGCCCTTCACCTATAACCCTCCTCTTTCCAGTGTTAATCAAGTCACTTCTTACTCATTTCCTTGATCAAACTATGATTTTCCTAACTAGTGGCACCAGTGACATCGCCCGGAGCCTGGCAGTCCGGCTGTGTCCCTCCACCTCTTATTTCATTCCTAAGAGCAAAGTCTCTGCAGAGGTGACTGAGAGAACTGCTGGGCTGATGGCCCGTGGGGCCACAAGGAGCCCGGCTGCTCACCCAGAGCTGGATTAGCTTCTGTGAGACTAACAGGAGGAGGAGGTGCTTTAGACAGTGAAGTGAGAAGGGATGCAGAAGGCATGAGTAAGACGAACGAGGAGATGAGGTTTTCTCAAAGCAAGCTGTCTGCTCAGTCAGCTGCCAGTCACCCTGGGGAGTGCCTCCCAGCATCTGTCTCTGAGGACCCTTGCCCTGCTCCCTACCTCTTCCAGCTGTAAGAGCAAGATGGGGGAAGGAAGACTGATCTCAGCCGCACATGCATTTCTCTCCCTTTCTCGGGGCACGTCGAGAGCAGAGACCTTTCCAAAGATTGCTTGGAAAATCTAAAACCAGCCTCTTTTACACTGCCCCTGAAGACTGGACCATAGCTTGCAATCCTGAAACGTGCCTCCCTGACCAGCTACTTTAATCCTCTCCCCCAAGTTTCATCCTGTTATGGGTTGAATTGTGACCCCGTCCCACTCCTATGTTGAAGTCCTAAGTCCCAGCACCATGAAAGGCGACTTTATGTGGAAGAAGGGTAAATGCAGATGTAACCGGTTGGGACGAGGGCCCCTGGAGCAGGGTGGGCTCCTATCCAACGTAACTGGCGTCCTTTCTAGGGGGGAAATCAGACAGAGACACATCCCGAGGGGGCACACGCACACGAGGAGAAGGCCGCGTCAACATGAAGGCAGAGGGGGGTGACGAGTCTGCAGGGCGAGGAGTGCTAAGGAGGGCCAGCAAGCCGCCGTGAGCTGGGGGAGGCATGGAACGGATTCTCCCTCGAGGCCCTCAGAAGGAACCAGTGTCGACACTTTGATCTTGGACTTCTGGTCTCCAGAACTAGGAGACAAACTGCTGTTTAAGTTTCTCAGTTTGTGGCACTTTGTTATGGAAGCTTTAGGGAGCTAGTAAGTATCCCCCAGACTCCCTATGAAACTGTGAAATGCTTTTCCGGAAATGCTGGAAATGCAGAGGTTAGAGGGATGGGGGAGGAAGGAGGCTTGGTGTTTTGGACTGGTCATCGCAAGGCCAAATGAGGCACTTTCCTTTTAACTCACCATCTCCGAAGAGCTGCAGGATAGCAAGGTCCACCTGGCGCTTCCACCCAGAATCCTTTTGGATGGCAATGCCATAACCCGTGGACGCAAAGACCTTCCCGCTGCCAATGGTCACCAGCTTGCAGCCTTCGTCTCTGCCCGCCATGTAGTTCAGCACTGCGGCATCGTAGATGAAGGCGTCCAGTTTCCTGTGCAAGACAGAGGCAAACCAACCAAGTCCGGTGGAGGAATTTTAGTACAAAACTACCTATGCGGCCGTTACTAGGAAGCTGCAGGCTTCCAGCAGAGAACGTGAATGTGGGGAGAATTGGTTCAAAGTAGGGCTCAAGTTGGAACTCAGCCAGGATCTAAAGCCTAAATCCCAGGCTGTTCTTTATGGGATTTCAGGCTGAAAGGAGGAGTTCTTTTCCTCCCACTGGGAATGATGAGAATGTAAGTTGGGCCTGAAGCCAACTCATAAGCTGTGTCTGAAAAGGACAAGGAGTAAAAAGGAATCAATAAAAATAATAACAGAAATAATGAAAAGTAACCATCACAATGATGATAACCAATGGCATGGGTTTAGATAACATTTTTCATTTCTCAGTTCGTGCCAGCCTGGAGTGGGGTAAGTGTAGGTGTGTGTGTTGCATTGGATGTGCAATGCTATTTTTTGTGGTCAGAAAAGCTTCGATATTCTTTTTTGCACAAGGAGAGAAATGAGTCTTCGTGGTGGTGGCAGCACAGGCTTGTCAACAGCAAATATGTGAAACTACAAGCCAATGTAACATATAGGAGAATTCAGATGTCTCAAGTTCCCAAACGTATGAGCATCTCATTTTACACACTGTGCTCTGCAAGGAAGGAATAGGCAGGAATAGGCAGGTAAAGTCAGGGAGGCAGAGGTCAGTATGTAAAACCAACACTGAAACACATCAAAGGTAGGGGAAGAAAATCAGATATATTTGTGTAGGTAATGCAGAGGTCTGCAAGAAAGAAAGGCAGGCACCCATCCCCTTTGCTTTTACAAGTGAAGTCAGCTTTGCTCCTCCTTAAGAAAAAAGAAGTCCTTCCTGGCATGTTAAGACACAGACCATTTCTCAAAAGGCTTGTGAGTGTCCTTCATAATAGCATACACCAAAAAGCCAAAGCTCTGACAGGACTGAGAACTGTGGTTGTACCAGGGGCTAGACTACCCAGAGTGATCCTACCCCCAAGCTCAACTCCCAACTCCTGAAATCTGCTGTGACTTCGTGGTGATAAGACGGAGTCTAACAGCATTTAAGTAAACATGCATCTGGGTGACTCTTCCAGAACCAGAGCCACCAGGGGGTCTAAGTGCTGCTCGTTACCATACAACACAGGAAATCAGCTACCAGACCTCACGGCTCCCAAATCCAGCAAGCATCAAGCTCATTGTCTGTCTTATTCCACAGCTGTGGCTGCTGAAGGCCGAATGAATGAAGGAACCAACGTGGCTCAGATGACACAAGCCAACATACTTGCGGTTCCTTTTAAAGGACAGACCCTTCCCAGGGTGCCGAGCTGGAGCGAAGAATGCCAACAAAAGCCGGAATTGGAGATCGGTCAACACATTCTTACTGTTGGCTGTTTAAAACCTTTTATCCTTGTCATCATTTATTTCTGCCTTGTCCATGAGACACCAAAATCATCATTTTTAGCTTTTGGTCATCAGGTCTTTATTTCGTGTGCAATGCATGAACCTGAGCCTTGAGTCTCCCCCTTGACTCTTGCATCTGTTTCATGCTTGTTTTATGGTTGCATTAATATATAACTTGTTAAAAATACACAGAAGTAAATAATAGCATAGGGCTCTTTGTGCACCGGCCTGAGTTATACTGTCAGGTTAAACCACCTGGACACCCATTAAGAGCCAATGCAGTCGTCTTTGCTTTATCTTTGTATGCACCCAAGCATGGCACACCTGTTCAATGTGTGTTTAATAAATGTGAGAAACACATCAAAGATTCTGAGCCCGGAAGCGGTTCTTACCCTGTTTTCAGGGAGAGCAATGCATCGTCCACACCCCTCTGGTTGAACTTTCCCATGTAGGCGTGCATCTCTGCGTAGTTATTGCGAATATTCCTCTCTGTGCTGCCATTGGGCACGGTGCCAAAGCGGAAAGGGGGTGAGAAGTCATTAGGTCTCTGGAACTGGAGGCAGAGAGAGAGACACACACAGAGGGAAAATGCTTCAGAAAATGCGAAGTGGTATTAAGTTAGCATTAGGGGATTTACAATGGAAGAGACCCAACAACAGTTCCTCAAATACATTAGCCTTCACTCAGGAGCGGTGGCTGCTATCTGGAAGTCAACTCCAATTCAACTCAGTTTAACCCATCCTGCCGAAAGCTTTCGATCTGCCCAACTCTGACTTGAATCTCTAACCCTTCTGTCTTCCATTTACGCACACTGCACAAAACCAGCAACAATGGGAACGTGCTGTTAGGTGAACTGCAGTGGACTGGTTACCTTTATTTCTGATAATTGCATAATATCTGCTTCCAGGCCTCTTCACTGCACTATTACGTCTACAGGACCTTAGTGAGGTAAGCTACATCGTACATCATTTGTTGGGTAGCAAATATGTTCTGCTAAGAAATTTTCTCTTGACCTTCCTTGATGTTTTAAAAGCCCATATTTATTCTACATGAGCTGTAGGATAAACTGTAAAATCAAATGCAATTTAAATTATGTTCCTTCTCTGGCTTAAGAACTGAGAGCGGGCCCCCAGTGCCTAGCATAAGAAAGTGAAATTTCTTGGATTTTTCACCCTTATGACATCAGCTTTATTTCTGGCTCTTGCCCTGCAATGAGAATGTCTGTCTGTTGCTTCCTGAACAAATAATTTGTCCATTTGTATCTTCACGGCCTCAGATAGTCTGTCCTCTTAGCATGGACTCACCTTTCTCCCTGCGCCAATTTGTGTCCTCACGTCAAATGTAACTCAAAGCAATTTCTTCAGGATGCCTTCTACGATTTCTTTCCTTCCATCAAGTCTACCCACCAAGAGTGACCCATCAGTTCTTGGTGCTCTTGGCTTAGATCATTGCAATTAATACTACAGATTCAATTACTTTCTAAAGGAGCTGGCTAAGTTCTAAGAGCTAGTCGCTGATGTAGTCATTAAGCTCTAGGTTGAGACAGATGTGGATTGAAGGCCAGCTCTGCCGCTGACTGCTGTGTGGCCCTGGGCAAGTAACATGAGCTCTCTGTGCACCACTTCCTCATATGTAATAAAGAGATGATGCTGTCTGCTTTTCAACACTGATGTGTGTATTAAATGGTATGATGCACAGGAAGTGTGGGCATAGCATTTTGCACACAGTAAGTGCTCAGTAGACTCCTTATATTATTTTAAGTTCATGTCTGTTGTCTGCATTTCCTAGTGATCTTCATACTCAACACATTTCTCATTCTATGAGAACAGCAATGATCAGATAGAATATGAGCACAGTATGTGGTCATATGTGCTATGCCTTGATATAGGAAAGACGCTGTAGGTATTTAAAGGCCACCTGGTTTCAATACTATACCATTTACTTTGGAGAGACATTTGAAAAATCTAACCTACCAACTCAGGAGTACTCTGAACCTCTGGAGTTGTCTGGGCTTAGAGCCATTCTCCTTTCTCCTTTCCTTGACCTGAGACACTCAAGAACTTCTCAAAATATGGGGATTTCATGGACCACAAAATGTTGCAGCACCACAAACCAATAAAGGCTGTCTTCATTGCTCATAGTTAAAAGCAGGGTCATGCACGTGGTGTTAGGCAATCTGAGATACATCAAAAGACCACCTCTTTATGGCTTACCACAGTGATTTTTGCCATAACGAGTTTTTGTTTAATTATTTTTAAAGGGGTTGTGATTTTTTTAGTGAATAAAGACACAACAAAAGAGTCAAAAGAATTTTAGAGTTAGAGGAACCATTCGAGGTTAACTAGTCCAAACCTTTAATTTTACAAATGAAGACAGGCCCCCAAAGGACAAGTAATTTGCTCAAGGTCACACAGTGGCTTGATGGCTAACATTATCAAGAATCAATGGCCTTAATTAATAGTACTCCTCACTGTCCCCAGCAGATGACAAGTTTAAAGTAAACAGGGGTAGGTTTTACTGGAAGAGACAGAATACTACGCATCGAACTTACAGAACGCATTATAACACTTCAGATGTTTTGAAAAAAAGGTATCCTCCACTCCCAATCACAAGTAGCAGTATAACGAAATAAGCTCCCTTAATCCATAACCCTGCACTTTGCTAGGATGGACAACTGACACTCACAGTGACCAAGGTACTCTCGGGCCCAACGTCCTTCCTGAAACATCAGTGAAAGTGGAAATCATGACCAGTACAAAGCTGGTATAAGTTTTTATACTCTATTTTTCTTGAAAATTGGCGATCCACGTATGGCAGATAACAACTGTTTCTGATTAACAAAACTGAACACGGTGCCCAGAGTGCCTCGCTTCCTGATGAGGCGAGATTATGGAACATTTCTGTGCTACTCTTTATGAACTTTAAATTCTAAATTATCTTTAGAGTTCTAGCTGCTGTTTTATAGCTATATCCTTGTTTTATAACTACATTCTAATTTTTCATGTTTAGATTTTATAGTTTCATAACTATATCCTTGTTTTATAACTATATTGTAATAAATAAAAACCAGAGAAATAATAAAGGACCCAGAATAGCCACGACAGTCTTGAGAAAGAAAAACAAAGTTGAAGGACTTGTACTGTCTGACTTTAAGCCTTATTATAAAACTGTAGTAGTCATGACAGTGGGACATTAGAGACAAAGAGAGAGTAAAGAGATCATGGGGACAGAACGAGTGTCCCCAGTTGACCAACGCATTTATGGTGCAAAGGCAGTTCACTGGAGATAGGACAGTCTTCAACGAATTGTGTCAGAACACTCAGATATCCATATGTAAAAAAAGAACTTCATCCCACACCTCAAAGATGCACAGAAATGAACACAAGGTAGATCATATACCTACATAAAAATCTTAAAATTGTAACATTTCCGGGAGAAAATGTAAGAGAAAGCCTTTGTCACCTTGAGTTAGACAAAGGTTTCTTAGATACGACAGCAAAGCACAATACAGAAAAAAGGAGATAAATTGGATTTGATTAAAATTAAGAACTCTTTGAAAGACACAATTAAGACCATGAAAAGACAAGCCACCAGCAGGATAAACAAATTTGAGAATAAATTAAAGCTATTAAAAAACTAAAGGAATTAAATAGTAACATAGCAAGACTCTTAAACAGTTAAAGCATCTTCCGTAAGAAAATGGAGAACTCAGCCAACCCTAGAAGAACGTAGGGCACTGTCCCGTGGGAAGCACTGATCGTGGAGGCAGACAATTTGGATTTGAACTTCAGCTCTTTCTCTTGACCAACTGTGTGAATATGGGCAAGTTATCTAAATTCACGGAGCCCCATTTTCTAAAAGTAGTATTTTTAATTAATATTAAGATAAGATCTAGGATTACTCAACACAGTATCTGGCACCCGGTTGAGTCTCAAAATGATTAACTCCTTCCACGAGCATGAAGTTCTAATATCTGAAACTGTCCTCTGTTAAACAATGTTCCTTAAGATGGAAAACTCTTGTTCCTTAAACTTGGCCAGTCTGGGGACCAAAAAGGTGAGGGCATCACCCCAGAATCAGCCAAAGCAGAAGCAGAAGCGAGCCTGCTTTTTCCTTGGAAAATTCTTGTCCCAGCTTGATGAAGCTGAAATAAAACCTAGCTTTAAAAAAAACTGTCATTGGAACTTGAATTTTACCTAAAATTCATGGCCATAGAGAACTGTGTTTAGTGAAGCCTGCGAGGAAGAAGGAAAAGATAATCTTGCAAATATCACCTTGATGGTTCCAATAAATGCCCTGTGGTAAAACCTGCCCCGAGCCGGGAGGCATTACACGGCACTTGTTTAACCTGAATGGCAGTCAGTGCTCTCTGGGGTTGGGGGAAGGAGGAACATCTAGTACTGTCGAGAACCGGGGCCCCTAAAACCCATAGAACAGGGATGACCCTGAGAAACAATATTTTTTTTAAATAATGAAAAAAAAAAAAAACCAATACACGAAGGAGACCAGCACTGGATTAAAAAGCTCCATCTGATCTTAAAATAGGGAATTTTATCTGATATTCCTTAGTTACCTTTGGTCATTATAGACCTTCCTCATCATCTTTTTCCAGAGTTATCCAGATGGGATTATGAAAACCACAGATAGGAAAACAGAAACAAAGAAAGGAAGGAACTTCAAAGGTCAGTCCCATTTCACAGATGAGGAAACTGAAACCCTGAAGAGACCAAGTAGGCTGTTCAAGGCCACGTGGTATCGGAGGAGGATGAGCCAAGGCTTGACCCCTGGGAGCTGAGCCTTCCCACCACGGCTCAGCATCAGCTGCCTGGTCCTCCTCCTGCTCCCCGGGAACAGAGCCACGCGCTGTAAGTGGGGCCGCCTGGAGGGAGTGCCCTTCCCTTCCTGGAATATCCCACGCTAACTCCCACTCCCCCTCGGGATCCTACATGGGCCTTCGGGCCATCACAGCAAGCCGCTCCTGCACAGGGCAAAACGGTGCCAGGATTTAAGAGAACTGTAATCTCACTTGATCCTCCTGGAGGGCCGTGGGGAAGCAGAATTGAGCCTTCAGAGCTGCTCAGATCATCACCTCAGCTCCTGTCTAAATGACCTCAAAGTGAGTTGGTCTTAGCACCCAGGCAAGGAGCAGAGTGCGGGAGGCCGGGGGAGAGGCCCTGCTCCCGCCTCCCCACGATGGGACCAGGGGGCCCTGGGGCTGTGCTGGCGGCGCCTTCCCAGTAGAGAGCCTCTCACACGGCCTGCTGCAGAGAGAAAGGGAAAGGGGAAAACGCCGGGGAAGTGGGGATCTGGTCCATTTTGCTTTATTTAGTAAACAAATATATAAACGGATTCTGCTATGTGTAAGGAATTATTAACTTATTGACAGAAGCCACTCATGTTCAACACCTATGTATGTGCTGGGACTAAGTCACATGATCTCCTTCAAGGATAATGGTTAAAATGCATCCATTCATCTGACGAATATTTACTGAGCATCAATTAGTGCAGAGGACTGTACTGGGAACTGAAGATGCAACGATGAAGACGTTAGTT